AAAAAAAAAAAAAGAAATTAATTGTATAACAAATGTTTTAAAAAATGTAAATCATCTGAATGTCATGAAGATTTAAAAAAAAGAGAAAGAAAGAAAAAAATGTCAGTCTTGGAGTTCTAGTTCTGAGCAATCTTGTCTCCCCACTGCATACAAATATAAACTCTAGATGGAATGCATGGAGCAGCTTCCCAGAAACTTTGAAAGTAAATGATAATGAGCACACCAGGAGAGACCAGGATTTAAACGACCACAGGCCAGTAGTGAGTGTCCCATTTCTCCCCCTCAGAGATTACCTGGTCTAGGCTCAAGAGCAGCTTGAAACATGAAAGTACACACCAGGTGTGAACAGAAGAACTTCAACTCACTTTCTGGTCCAAATAACAGAAAAAGGAAAGTCAAAAGTTCAGAGAAAATAGGGGAAATCTCCTACTGTTCATTTTTTTCTTATTTTGTTCTCTCTAACCTCCAGCAACAGAGTTAGAAGTTGGGCAAGTAACTAAAACTCTGAGGGCTGCGAATTCTTTTCTCTGACCAGAGAAGCTGTAGCTTCAAGAGTGTGAGGCAAATCTCTACCGCTTATTTTGTCTCCCTCTATCCTCCTAACACTTGACCCTGGAAGCAGATGCAATCATGAGAAGTGCATAGCAGAGAGTAGGCAAATTAAAGCCCTGGTATTCTGACAGAGAGCCATGAAAGGGGGATCCAAGGAACCAGAAAGTGTCAGGGGGATCACAGACAGTAGCGAGCAAAGTTGTGTATGAATCCCTGGGCTCACTTCCACGCTACACATACATAGATCTGACCCTAAACAATATACAAACAGCTCTGAGAACTGAACTACAGGCTAGGCTACTGCCCAGGTTCCAGATTAGCCACTGGCTGACACACTAGACAAATCCAAATAGCAGTGGCCAAGGCTTTGAAAAATGAGCTAATAGAAAAACGGGCTGGGCGCAGTGGCTCATGCCTATAATCCCAGCATTTTGGGAGGCTGAGGTGGGTGAATCACCTAAGGTTAGGAGTTCAAGACCAGCCTGACCAACATGGTGAAACCCCATCTCTACTAAAAACACAAAATTAGCTGGGCATGGTGGCACATCACTGTAATCCCAGCTACTTGGGAGACTGACGCAGGAGAATTGCTTGAACCCAGGAGGCAGAGGTTGCAGTGAGCCAAGATCGTGTCATAGCACTCTAGCCTGGGCAACAAGAGTGAAAGTGTGTCTCAAAAAAAAAAGAATCACGGTCCACAGAAGGTAGGTCAGAATTTGATATCAACTGCCTCCTAAAACAAAAAAAAATCAATGTTCTCTTTGATTACAACAGGACCCAGAGTCCCATAATATTCAAAATGTCCATGATAGAATATAAAAATACTTAGCATAAAAAAACCAGAAGAATCTCAACTCATAAAAGACAATCAAAAGATGCCAACTCTGAGATGACACACATAATTAGAATTATCAAGGATATTAGAGCAGCCATATAACCAAGAAATTTGAGCAATCTTACAATGAATGGAAAGACAGGTCTCAGCAAACAAACACAAAAGAAAAAAACCAGAAAATTAAGATTGAAATAGAAATTTTAAGACTGAAAATGCAATACTGAAATTTTAAAAGGTAAATATTTTCTCATATATATGTCTGCAACTAGAAGACATATAAGATCTTCTTCTCTTTTATAAGAAATGGAAATATAATTTATCAAACTGGCCACATTTGGCTGCATGAGAACACATAGTCACTCTGAAAGTACAAACCCAGCTGGGCGAGGTGGCTCAAGCCTGTAATCCCAGCACTTTGGGAGGCCGAGGCAGGTGGATCACGAGGTCAGCAGACCGAGACCATCCTGGTCAACATGGTGAAACCTCGTCTCTACTAAAAATACAAAACATTAGCTGGGCATCGTGGCGCGTGCCTGTAATCCCAGCTACTCAGGAGGTTGAGGCAGGAGAATTGCTTGAACCCAGGAGGCGGAGGTTGCAGTGAGCCGAGATCGTGCCATTGCACTCCA